GCACACTTTGTGTGTAACACTTTTTTTGTATGTACATGTACACACCTACAGTACACATTATAAATGTACTGCCATGTGTACAAGGACATCCTTTTTGTAAGCCCAGATGCATTAAGACATGATAAATGTTTTCCAAATACAATGCACACACACAGATCCACCAAGTCAAATGCATTTGTAATCGAGTCTCTTACAGTTTTTAAACTGGGTTGCTACAATTACATTTACAAACATATGCAACATATTCATACATTAAAGCTGAACTCAAACCCCATACCAGCCAAACTATAACTCAATCCCCAAATTCATGCTTCAACCGTAACTCAAGCCCCAATTAATCAAACACACTCAAAATTAAAGATAGAGATAAAAGTGGAGGGTACTACCCTTAAAAGTGTCATGGCCAACCACGACCAGTGCATGCTCGCTCCTTTGTTCCGTCCGCCACTGTTGAGCAGACCTCCTCCTCATCATCCACACCTTCCAGCCCAACAGAACAGTCAGACAACAGTCTGTCTCCATTGATCTTCCTCCAAGCCCAAATTGGATCGCTTTCAGACTCACTGGAGTACCCGAAGTGAATACGTAGGGGCATACGAAATGGCTATGGTGCATGTGACGTCTTCGGTGAAACCGGATAAGAAACCATTTCACAATTCGAATAGGTTTGCTCCTGGACATCTGGGATCGATGTTGCATGCGGTTGGATGAGAAGATATGAGATCTTAATCGGATGGATAGAGGTGGGATTAGGCTTCTTTTCCATGTTCAGGTCAGGGTTCGGAGATGGCCTGGTTACGATGGAGATAGGAGGGTAGGTAGGGGTAACAACAGAGGAGAAGCAGGGAATAGCAGCGAATGAGAAGAAGTAGGGGCTAGCATCGGCGGTTATGAGCTAGGTAGAGTGAGAAGGAGCGGCGGAGGAGATGCGTTACAGGACTGGTAGGGGAAGGAAGGAGATAAGGTAGAATGAGAAGGAGAAGAGTGTAGACGGTAATAATGGGTATGAATAGCCAATCAACGAAAATGGGTAGAAAGGGGTGAAGCGTTGGGCCGATTAAATGGACAAGGGTATTTTGGCTGCACACAATTTTTTCTTTCCTAAAATAGAAATGAGATCATTTTGGGACATTCGTTTCGGGAAAGTAGGACAATCTTTTAGGGACGGAGGGAGTACTACGTATGTATTAGTACTTGTAGGAAGATTTGAATCTTATAAAAAATTACAAGAAAATTAAAATAAATGATAATGCATGATCATATGCTCTACTTGAAAAAACAATAAGCTGTGTGTGACAATGAAATAGGTTGATAGTACATTTATTAGTTGATCTCATGAAACATTATAAAATAAAACAATCATATTTGGTGTTTCACAAATTTTGAAAAACTTCTTGCTACCCCATTTTTTGTGGTGTTGTAGCGCGGCCCTCATCATCACATATAAGAATCTTCAACCAACTCTTTGAGGTAACCCTTGACATTGTAACATACAATTGAACGTGTGTAATGTTGACACATGCTTATTACCACATCCGGTGATAATAAAGGCATCAATAGTAGCACGAACAACATCTTGCCTTGATGCCTTTAATATGACAGGGAGTATTTGCTTGAAATCGCCACAAAAAAACGACAACTTTCCCTCTAAATGGAAGCTTAAAGCTATGAGGATTGTGAAATCTGAGCAAATACTTTAATGTCATGTAAATAGCTTCAATGCAATGTTTGTTTGTCCTTCGAGCTTCATCCCATATGATAAGCTTCACTTTTATTATTAGCTCAACTAGATGTCTTCCTTGTTTTATAATTTACAAGTGAAGTCTTCATTAACATTAATAGGAATGACACATCTGGAGTGAGTTGTTCATCCACCAGGAATAAGTAATGATGTTATCGCACTGGATGTGATTTCAACACAACTTCACATTTGGATCTTATGCATGCAAATATCGCCCTTCATATGTAAGTTTCACCTTTTCCACCATATCCATACAGAAAAAGCACCACCACAATATTTAGTAACACATTGCATGATGGTCTCATATATATTTTTCCGTTCAGAAGTCATGGTTGACAATAGATGCAAGTGTACGTTCAGCAGACAGGGATGACCTATTATTGTTCAACTCATCATGAAGAAGTCTATTTTTTAATTCATAAACCAATGACCTGTCGGGTCGTGGCACGGATGGAAACTCCATCAAACTTTTTCCATATTTGCGCAACAACTCTATCTCGAGTTCTCGACCAAAGTAAAACTCTTTAATTGATCATCTGATAGAATCAGATATGTCAAAACAGATACTCCCTCCGTCCCTTACAACTTTGCCAACTTTCCTTTTTTGGTTGTCCCAAAAACTTTGCCACTTTCCCTTTTAGTCAATCAATTTGCGGTTCCTGTTATTTCTCTCTCCTCTGCACAAATCTCTACCACACAGTTTTTTACTTTATTATTCTACGTGCCGGTCAAACTTGGCAATCCTTTTAGGGACGGAGGGAGTATAACCAATTCTATCACATTTGCATAAATGATTTTATTATTACTGTTAGCTGGTGCAACTATTGTATGTGGTTGTAACAATAATTATTATAACACTAAAAAAAGTTAAATATACTTACCATGAAACTGTAGAAGTAATCTCTACATGTGTTGAATATCATCGCTTAGATATTTCCATGTTTTTTCCAAAACCACGTGTGGTGTACACATTTGGTTAGACAACTTCAATATAGAAAAAGTAACCTCATATACTCCTCAATTCCTCAAAAACTTGACTCTGTGATAGCATCGATGAATTCTTTGTCATCACCTAGTAATCTATCCCAATGCATTACACGTGTCTTTGAATGTGGGATACACAATGCTGTCGATTGTTCGTATTTCAACAAATGATCTTGGTCCCATCACATGATTCAACCATGTATGCATGTAATATAACTCACCAATTGCTGGAGAAACGAAATGCAATCTCCAACTGTATTGCCCCTTTGCCTATAAAGTCATTCATGTCCAGTCTGTTTCCACACATATTTTGAAGGGAACTGAGCATAGCTTAGACCTGTTGCTTCAGGTCATTTCACGTTTGCGTCCATCCATGCAAGAAAATTTGTTTTCTTTTGCACTTTTGCATAAAAAACCTCTTGAAAGGAATCACCTTCGTCGAATATTACATGTTGTTCACCCGATAAGTGAAATGTTAGCCGCTCAACAAAAGGTTATCTATCATTTATGTCAAAAGAAAAAAGCATCCATGCAACCTCACATGATGACGAATACCGATAATCATAATACAACTTTATTTCAGAAAGTGTTGTGAAACAAAATTTTTAAATGACAACAAGTGTTTATGCATTTACCATTTTGCATGCATTGTGATTTCCTATTTTGTAACCACACGGGCCATGGAGCATCAAATATTACATAATCTTTAGCAATTTGTGGTCACTCTCTTCATGTGGTAGCTCACCTTATACTCCCTCCGTCCCTTAAAACTTTGTCATCTTTCCTTTTTGGGACGTCCCAAAAAAAATTGCTACTTTCCCTTTTAATCAATTATTTTGTGGTTTCTGTTATTTCTCTCTCCTCTGCACAAACCTCAACCACACAGTTTTTACTTTATTATTCCCCGTGCCGGTCAACTTTGTCAAAGTTTTAAGGGACAGAGGTAGTATTATCTTATCAAAACCATCTGGATGTGGATATCTATATTTTGGGTGCAAAATAATTAATATGTGTGCCTGTGGCAACCTCACTTTTGGAACTCAACTGTGTATGTTACTGCATACAAAAGAAAAGTTGTCATTAAGTTAAATCAATTTTGATTCAATTTTATCGGGAAAACTCTATTCACTATACATACTTGCCCTCATCAATCAAAAGTTTTTTCCTCTTTGGATATCTTTAATCATCTCATCAAGTTTGATTTTTGAAAACTCGACAGATTAAGTTGGGTCTGCATCCATATTTCAGTCCTTGGGTCCTCAAGTATACGAAAGTTCATGCCACTTTTGGTTGGATGTGAGTGTGATGAATAAATAAGGATAGCCAATCCAACGGAATATTGCTATAGCATCTTGATAATTTTGAAACATGTATCGTGCACCACCCGTAAAGAATGATGGTAGAACAATGCGTTTACCCACAACCGCCAGATTTATGTCACCCCTTAAAATAGATTCCTTCATACATATCCACCCTCACTTCCTTCCGATGAGTTCTCTAATAGTACAATCGATTTGATTCAATTGTACTATATATGTCCACCAATGACCGTTGAAACAAATGTTTAAAAAAAGGATGTTTAGATCATTTAGTAGCTCGGTTTTGAAATATATAATTATAGAACTCTCTCATTGAAATCTTGTCTCTTATTTGATCTTGCACTTTGAGTTTAAGTTAATGAAATATCATATGTTTATTCTCGCTCTCCCCTTGGGAACAACTTTAATGATGCCACTTCAAATTTGGATTTTTTCCTAAAATTATTCAAAAAAATCAAATAAAAACATTGCTTATAATAATTTAATTATTGGTTTACTAATCTACTATGTAAAAAATATGTTAAGTTTTTATTGACGATGTAGGGATGCAAGAAAACCTATATTGTCGGAGTCGATCGACAATTTCATATCGATGAATTTCATATTTAGATTTTATGACGGTGTAAGGATGCGTATAGTCAGGGGCGGGTCTAAGGGGAAGTCAACCTAGCTCCTAACTCATCCCAAATTCAAAAAATGCCTTATTTATTAAGATAAAAAACTGTATTTTTTTTCAAAACTAGTTTTTATACCTACCGAATCTGGCGCAGTGCCCTGACTTCACCCATGCGTAAAGTCTTATGGGATTGTAAGCTTGTAGCTAACTTGCGTTGCAGCTAACTAAGCTAGAAGCAGAGTTGGATATCAACTAGTTTAACGTTTAACAGTACCATAATGTCAAGACTAGTGTTGTGTTAGTGTGATTGAATGGAGTTAGGAGACTGATGAGCTAATTACAGGCATTATTAGCAATCACTAATTTAATTGATTTTGTTTTCCAAACATTAAATACTCATCGTATTGACTTGACTCAGCTAATCAACATCAAATTTGGAACTTTATGGCTTATTTAATTCTCTGTACTCCCTGATTTGCCCACATGTAGGAATACCACAACTACTTTTATTAATTGTTATTATCTCGAAAAATATAATTAATGGTTTTACATGAAACCTACCTACCAATTCAAAGACAACCAAACAAACATGATGATGGGGGTTTTGTTTCCCCCCTTATTTCTTCTTCCTTTAAGCACAATACACCTTCTTCAACCCCAAGAAAATGAGAACAATGCGAAGATAATCAAATCTGTAGCCAGCCTTCAAGAACTGAAGCTTTTTAAAATCCCATGGTGGATATCTGAACCAAAAATCTATCAGGAAGCTCCTTCTGAGAACTGCCTTCTCATGGCTGAATGCATCAAATGAGAACTTCCCATGGTATCTCCCCAACCCACTCTCTCCTACTCCCCCAAATGGAAGTGTGTCTGCTGCATACTGCAATTATTCCAAAGAAATGAATTGGCATCAGTGGCATAGTCAGTTCAGTATATCCGCCGGGCCAGTACAAAAGATCTTTCTGTATATACTTTTATACATGGAGTACTTTTTTACAGTCTCAAAACATTTTTCGAATTTGGGGTGGGCCGGGCCTAGTATGTCCCCGGCCCCTAAATGGCATTATTTGTGAATTTATCCCCTTGTTAGTTGTCGCGTTTGTAGTAAATGTTGTTTACCGGCACGTCGGGTTATTCGAGCATATCAAAATTATTTATAGAGATAACTTTAATAACCTCAGACTATAGTTCTCCAGAATTGGTAAATTGAAGTTCAGAAAATTTCATCTGAGTTAACATTATAAGGTCTTAGACTACTACTTTGATCTTTTAATGTAGAACACCAAGTCTTAATTTGGTATCAGAATCTACTAAGCTCAAACAAGAGCCACTGCATGGGCATTGATGGGAATTATAAAAAGATTAAGATGATTATGAACTTACTTGGATAATTGCATCATTGAACACCACACTTCCTGAAGATGTCTGAGACACAATCTTTTTCTTCAGATTTTCATTATTAGTGAAGCAATAAATGGTCAGAGGTTTTGGTCTGGAGTTGATAAATTCAATGCTATCTTCTATTCCATTCATCTGCCACAATAATAACAACCATATTTATATGTACATATCACCATAGCATACACTTCACATGTGTCTCCCAACTTTGTAAGAAACATAAATTGCAACTACATCAAATTCCAAAACAAGACCATTATGTTTTCCCCCTAAATAGGAGTAATATTGTTACGCTTGAAAAATACTGTCAATGATGACGTTAACATTGACACGTTAATGTCCGGTAATGCCAAAATATAGCAGTATGTTTTCAGGGTGACAATAATTTACTTCTGGTTCGGGGAAAAACATAATACTTTTATTTTGAAATATCACAATTGTTTTTACTCCTATTTCGGTGAACTTTCTTTGTAAGAAATGATGGCCTTACCGTTATTATGGGGAGAATCGGACCAAAAATTTCTTCTGTCATGATGGAAGCATCTAGCGGAGGATCAACCAGCACGGTTGGGCCCATAAACCTGGCATAGATTACCAAAATATTGTAAAACTCTTCGCATTGGATATTATAAATGTGTGTGTGTGCGCGTGCGTGGTGCGGCATTGGATTTATATACAATAGCCAAATTGTATATAAAGTATTCGAAGTACTTACAAATTGTCTTCATCGAGCAAACCACCATAGACTATGGAAGATCTGACCTCAGGCTCATCCAAGTAATTCTTCAATCTCATGAGGTGCTTTTTGTTTATTATCCTTGCAAGAGAATGCTGCATTTCTTTTGGATTTTCTCCAAATTGTTTTTTGATACATTTCCTCAGAAGTTCTACCTGAAAACAAGTGTTTTGGTTTAATTTTGCCCTGTCCATATGGATAATAACCCATACTATACCACAACAAATATAAAGATATAAAACATTACCAGCTCTGCTGAAAACTTTTTTTCTACAAGAATGTAGTCAATTCCAATACATGCCTGACCAGAACAGATACCGAATTTCGCTGCAAGAATCCGATCCAATGCAACCTAGAGAGGAAACACATCATGAGAAACATTGGTGTTTTTGTTTAATGGTTATGAGGAAGAGATTATCGGGATGATGCAATTACACTTTGATCCCAAGAACTGGAAAGAGAATCAATCACAGCAGGGCATTTCCCTCCCAGTTCCAATGTAACAGGAGTAAGGTGCTTCGCCGCGGCTGACATAATGTTGCGGCCTACTTGTGCACTGCCTGAAATCAAACTCGAAATGGGGTAAATATATGTTGAAAAGTTTGTTCCAACTTGGTTAGATATGAAATAACAACACTAACATGTAAAATTTTAGGCTACTTCATTGAGGTTATATAAAAAGATAAAAGATCAAAATTTAAAGAGGTGTATAGTTGTTAGGATATGTAGCTTGTGAAGAAAAAGTGCACGGTCTAGACAATGTGTTGAGCCATATGGAGTATGTGCCTCTCTAAGACGAAAATTCCTGTCTAGGATATGTGCCTTTATCAGAACATTTTTTTTGTCTAAATACGAAATTGCTAACCACTCCTTTTTGTAGTGACAAATGAAATCCTCCGCACGTATAACTTTGGAGAAAACGCAATGGAGAGAGAATATAAGTGTGGAGGATTGATCAGTTATTATCTTTTTTAAGTGCGATTTCATATGTCGATTCATGTTAGCAGACCCTAAACTATTTTGGGACTAAGGCTTGGATGTTGTTATTGTTGTTGTTGTACGAAATCACTAACCACATATAAAAACGTACACTACTTATATTTTCATATTAATCTTCTATGATGAAACTATAAATTACAAATATTAAAATTTGAAGTTCCACCTAAAACATTCTTTTAGTATTCCAGTGATGTGAGAAGCTATTTAAGAACAGAAACTTGAAACAGCTACAAATCTTTACCTGTGAAGAAAATCTTGTCCCATTTGTGCTCCAACAAAATCTCTGAAACCAAAACTCCACCTTCAATGACCTTAACAGCCTTACGGTCAATATAAGCAGGGATTAGCTTGGCTAGTAGTGATGAACACGCCGGAGCTAGCTCGGAAGGCTTAAGGACAGCCACACAACCTGCGGCGATTGCTCCGATGATGGGTTCCAATGACAACCCTTCATGTATACCAATAACATTTTCATTTTAAAAACAGTAACTCTAGGAGTACATTCGCCCAACATTCTTCGTGTTCATTCATATGTGTCATCTATTTATTTGGTGTCAAATGTTAACAAAACTTTTCAACATCTAATAATCAATTGACACACATGAATATACATGATCCTTACTCTAAAAATGCATACGCAGAGGAATGTAAATGAAAGACCAAACAAGATTTTATCACCTACCAATAGGGAAATTCCAAGACGAAAAAATGAGTACTACACCCAATGGTTCAGGGATTATATCTCCTTTCACAGGAAATGCTGCAATGGGCAGTTTGACCTGGAAAACAGCAAAACAATCAAAATTTTCAAGACTAATCTATCAAATGTAAAATTCCAATGCATTACAGTAGATAACTCAATAACTTTATGTGATTTTAATTTATAAAATGATTGTGAAAATGAGCTGCCTTTAAATCTGAGTAGGCTCAAGGTCATGCTTGAAATAATTTAAGTGGCTTGAGCTTAAGCAGAAAGAAGCTTAATAGTTTTTGTTCAAGTTTGGTTTGTTAGTTTTTACAAGGCTTGAGTTCATTTGGAATACCTCAAGTTGAGCTTGGGTTTGATATTTGAACTCAAGATCTAAGGTAAAAATGATTTTGTATATGCGAAATACGGAGTAATTAGTACTCCGTATTTTATATATCCATATATATTATTTAAATACATTTTATAATATATGCATATCAAAATAATATTATATGGAATATATATATAGTGTAGTTCAAACAAAAATAAGACTGCTCTAAAAAATGCGAATAAATCTAAAACATCGAATTTGAGATCTAGTTTTTCTGAATATAACAGTACATGAACAAAAAACGGTGCCATATTGGTAAATAAAAAATTAAATAATGACAAATACTAGTATGTGATTGAAATTCATTATGATATAAATGTGGATAAAAATGTGACTTTTATAATTTACCGACTATTATTACGTTCAAATTGACATTGCGGTGACTATTATGATATTACTTAATAACTCAAGTGATATTTTTGTCTATAACTTTAATTTTAGTAATATATAATGAAAAACCTCTATTTGGAGGATTTTCCTTAAATACTACTCAAAATAACTATAAAATATTACTTCGTACTATATTTACTATGCATAGTCACTATATTGTGGTCACTAAAGTTACAATAATAGTCACTAGTGATACTTTTCTCCATTATCTTTATTTTGATCATATATTTGTCATCATTTCTTTTTATTTGAATCAAATGAGAATGGAAGGGCATGTTTACTAACAGAGATATTTTCCGGTTTTTCAGAAAACTGGAAAACTGGAAAACGGAAAACGTGCCTACCAAAAAAAATTGATGAAAACTGGAGAAAAAAAATAGAAAAATGTGTTCACCCAATCATTTTCCAAAACCAAAAAAATGAGATATGTCTCTGTTTTTCTTAATGAATTGGAGAAGTGACTTTTACTAGTTTTCAAAATTTGGAAAACGCGGATGCTGTAATGAATTTGCATACTTATGCCTAGTGGTGGATCCAGTCCCGCTGCGGTGTCAGTTCCAATCCGGTCCGATCAACGACCCGACGGTCCATATTTGGTCCAGTCATTGACCCGACGGTCCGGTCGGTCATTGACCAGGCGGTCCCTTTCCGGTCCGATCGATGGTCCGGCGGTCCCTGTCTACTCTGGTCCACGACCCGAAGGTCCCTGTTCGGTCTGGTCCACGACCCAGGGGCCCTGTCCGGCCCGGTCCACGACCCGGCGGACCATGTCCAATCCGAGAGATGACCTGACGGTGCTTGACCGGTCCATGACCAGGCAATACCTGTTCGGTCCGGTCAACGGGCGAACAATCCCGGTCTGATCAACGACTCGGCGGGTCCCGTCCGATCAACGACCCGACAGGTCCCATCCTATCCGACCAATGACTCAAAGGTATGTGTTCGGTCTGATCAGCAACCAAGCGGTCCCGGGCCAGTCTCGTCAACGACCCGGCTGTCCCTGTTCGGGTCGGTCAATGACCCGACGGTTAAGTATCGGTTTTTTGAAATCATTTTTTAAAGTGAAAAGTTTTAAAAAAGCCGTTGAAGTGTCAATCAATAGGGAAATAAGAAAAGAATTCATTAAACTAACCGTTGAGATCGACCGAGACATGCCAGTTTCGGTCTCGACTTTCCTATACGTGGGATCAGGTACCCTATTTGGGTTGCACTAGGTTCTGTTCTGCACTGGGACTATACTTTCGGTTAATTGGTCGGTCACAGATCCGGGTGAAAAAATTTGATGAACTTATTTTCAGATGTGAAAATGGAAAACTAAAAAGTGAAAACAGAAAAATGGGGATAGAAAAACTGGAAAATGAAAACAGAAAATCGGAGAAACGAAACCAGAAATAGAAAATTGAAAAATACAGAGTATCTCTAGTAAACATGCCCGAACATTCTCATGATAAAATAGTGTTTCTAAAAGTGACAAAACACGTGAATAATCTCCTAGCAGAAAACCTTATTTTACCAATTCGAGTCCAGTTTTCCAGGTCCTAGTTGACTGTTTGCACCTATATTGTTCAGAAATCATGTAACAGAGCATAGGCCATTTTTCGACCAAATAAGGTGAGACCGAGAGAGAGAACATACCGATTTACCGGACATCCAACTCTTCAACCCGGACAAAGCGAAATCTATAGACTTCACTAGTGGTCCTATCTGTGGAAAGATTAATAATCATAACAAAAAGGAGAATCACAAAGGTTAGTAAAAAGAGAGGAAAATTGGTACGATAGTACTTATTTATCGGTGTGTTATACGAAGTGGAGTAAAAGTTATCAAATTTTGACTGAACCTGTGAGCTAATTTGCTAATTCTATTTTTCGATTTATAACATTATTAATTAATTTTTTCAGCAAACACGTAAATTTTGATTTTGCATTACAATTCCGTAATAATTAAAATAAATAAGGTTGATATTATTTTTTGAGTGAATTTGTTGAAATCACCGTAGAGAAAATTTTAACTATTTTTCTTACATAGTACTAACTCCGTCCCGTTGGAAGGTTCCCATAGCAAACACAACACGGTTATTTATATAATAATTAAAAAAATACTTCGAGTATGTTTTTAGAAATAATATTAATAGGTATATACTCCCTCCGTTCTTTATTAACTGTCTCGTATTCCTTTTTAGGACGTTTTTAATTATTTGTCTCTCTTTCCCTTTTTGGTAAGTTTTTTCCAATTAAAATACCTTTATACCCCACTTTTATTACCATTATCCCTTTCTCTTTCCTACTTTTTCATTTACCCACAACCCACTACATCTTTTACATTACCCCTACTATTTTCCTCTTAAAACCCGTGCCAAAGTCTAAGAGGACAGATAATAAAGAATGGAGGGAGTATTATAATGTAGTTAATATCGATAATTGTTAATTGTTTCCTAAAATGGAAATGAGAACCCAGACATCCAAAAAAGTAAAGTGAGAACCTTCTAATGGGACGGATGGAGTACAATATATTTTTTTTATTAATAAAAAATAGTTCACATACAAATTTTTCAAAAATCAACAAATCCAATCACTTGAACCAGAATTTCTTAAATTTTAGCACAATAACTTGATTCAACCAATTTCAATGTTACAAACGAACACTTGGTTTGGCCAAAATTGACTTAACACGAGAAAGCAAGTTTGGCAAAAAATAGCATCTCCGTCCCATTAGCATCGTGGCAAGAGAAGGAGGCGTTGTTATTAAGAAAATTTAGTTTATTAGGCCAATATAGAATTCATAAAATAAGAATAAATTGACAATGTTTTACTCCGTATAATCATACAAACTTTACTCAATTTGATATGAGACAAAAACAGAATAGCAAAATATTTACCTCGTCTCTATAGGCTTCAACGTGGTGTTTGCCGAGGTCTTGCTTGAGGGCAGAGACAAGGTCATGCTCTCTTTCTTGAAGGAGACTGAGCAAAGCTTTTAACTGCTCCCTTCTCCAGGATTCCTCCTTTGTCTTTCCTGAACGGAATGTCTTCCTCAGCTGTTCCAAATTCGTCCTGACCAGAACTTCCTCTGCCCCTGCCATAGCTCGGCCCTCTCCTTTTCGATCTCTGTTCTTAAAATTTTTGTTTCTTGCTCACTTCAGGCTCCTGGAAATGGGTATTTCCTACCCCAGACTGCCCAGTATTTATGCTCATTCAACTAACACTTTCGGGCGGTTGGATTAGATCTACGTAATTATAATTCTACAGACCCACGGATTGTTGAAAAATGTGTGGTGTACACCTTTTGTGTACCCCGTCTGTCCCAGCAGACGAGTTGTCTGTCCACAACTCGTGACCCAAGCAAAGTTGCTGATTGTTAGCTACTCCCTCCGTCCCTTAAAGGTTTGACATGTTGACCATCACGTAGAATAATAAAGTAAAAACTATGTGGTAGAAATTTGTGCAGAAGAGAGAGAAATAACAGGAGCCACAAATTGATTGATTAAAAGGGAAAGTGACAAAGTTTTTGGGACAACCAAAAAAGAAAAGTTGACAAAGTTATAAGAGACGGAGGGACTATTAATTTGGCTCGGATGGGATTACCATGTAATTAATGGAGAATGTCTATTGCCTAGGAGCTGTCTAATCCATCTATTTATCTTGGGTCTCACTTGGAATTGATTTTGGGCAATTGTGTGACTCGGAATAATAATAAAGAGTGTAAGGATAAATAACTATTAATAAAATAATATTTAATATTTATACGATCGAAATAACAACGAGTATAATAATCTTAATATTCGATGAACGATTTTATATTATTTTGAATTGAGCAGAATAATAGTGGAATATAAAAGCAAAGGGAGATTTGGACTATATTTCGTGTCACGAATTTGACATTTTAAGATAAATTTGGTTCTTATAAATGCACTCTCTTAGTTTTCAACAAAAAAATGCTCTCTTAATGATAATTGTTCTTTAGAATAAAATCACCTTTTTCTTTTTCTTATCAAAGTAGCAGACTAGCAGCACATAAGAATCTTTTGAGAATTGACAAAATCTGGATACTTTTGAATACTAAACTACATGCCTAGATATTTGCGAAATAGTCACACAAATCTAGTACTAAAATATCTTGTTTATAAACATGTGAGCTCTTAATTATAGTGATTATAGTACTCCGTAATATTTTAGACACAGTAACTTATGTATAATGTTTATACTTAATTGATTATCTCAATACGCATACTTTTTAGTAATTTAGTCATTTTTTAATGGTAAATAGCCTCCTTCAATTAATTAAGTAAATCATTTCCCAACTGCCTTACAACTTCAATAGGTAAATTATACTTCCTCCGTCCCTTAAAGGTTTGACAAGTTTGAGCGGCACGTAGAATAATAAAGTAAAAACTGTGTGGTAGATATTTGTGCAGAGGAGAGAGAAATGACATGAGCCACAAATTGATTGATTAAAATGGAAAGTGGTAAAGTTTTTGGGACAACCAAAAAAGGAAAGTTGGCAAAGTTATAAGGGACGGAGGGAGTAATAATTATTTTTGCGATCAGGATTCAAAATGCTAGCCCGTGCAAGTGCATGAGCGACACAATTAGCAGATCCCCTACAAAAAGACAGAATAAGATTGTCATTTTCCTTAAAAAAATGTCTATATCTACCAAAATCAGATCAGTGTAGGATAAGTCTCCCTCGGTCTCCATTGCTTGAACGACTCAAAGAGCATCCCACTCTATTTCCACTTGCCTCCAATCTTTTCTGGCAACCCCGGGAATTGCTTCCCGAACACTTCTTGCTTCAGTTTCAGTCGGAGACCAATTCGCTCCCTTAGCCTCGCTACCAGCCCCCACTACCTCCCCCTGAGAATTTCTTCCAATCCATCCCCATGTCCGTTTCCCATCCTTCTCATCAACCACAACATCCACATTAACCTTGACCCACCCTATTCTCCGACGAATACTAATGATATCGATAGTAAAAATAGTTAAACAAATTATAATAAAAAAGGAGCATTATAAACCTGCAACAAGCCTCATCATCTTTCCCTTCCAAGCTCTCTCCTTTAACTTGTTGCAAATAAGTTAATTTCAGTATTATTTTTTTTATAAAATCTATACTTATAATGAGTTAAAAAGTACATGGAGCTCATATAAACACACGTGATAAATTCTTGATCAAGATGTTGTGGATCGTTGCGCTTATCGCAACACTAAAACCAATCGCCGATAGTGTAACACACTCCCCTCCCTTTATAGCACAAGTGAAGCACCACGCGGTTCAATTGCACCGGCAGGCTGACAGATTGATGGCACCGCATACCCGCAGCCCAACAACCTCCCCCAGCACCTGCCATCCTCAACTGCGCAGCATGCTGTTGCCGAGGTCGAACCCGTGACCTTGGCTCTGATACCAATTGTGGATCGTTGCGCTTATCGCTACACTAAAAGCAATCGCTGATAGTGTAGCACGCTCATCTCCCTTTATAGCACAAGCGAAGCACCACGTGGTTCGATTGCACCGGCAGGCTGACAGATTGGTGGCACCGCATACCTGTGGCCCAACAGATGTCAACCAGCTAAGCATATTGAATCTCAAGATCTTCGTGAGCTCTTCTTTCACAAACATCTCGAGGACATCCCTAGATTAAATTGAATAAAATAATAGTACAATAGATATAGTAATATTTTAGTATTGCTACATCCGTCCCACTAACATTGACACAAGATAGGGTGACATGATTATTAATAAAAAATGAGTTTATGTAGTTGATATTGAATTGATAAAGTAAGAATAAAGTAAAAATGATTTAAAACCACACAAATTTTACCAAATTTGGTATGAGAAAGTCTTAGTGGAATTTCTCGAAAAAGAAAAATGGGACAATCTTAGCGGGACGCAGAGAGTCTAACGAAAAATTGAAAGTATTTTAGTTCACGAAGTATATCCAGACCTTTCATGCCAAAAACCTAGTACTCATCTCCAGATCTTGTGATCGTGAATTGTTGAGGTTAAGTCCCGAATGAACCGAAGGCCCAACACTAACCTTGGATCTAGGGTTGGATTGTTACAGTAACGTGTATAAAAGAAATGTAAAAACTGATAGGTTCACACAAATAATCTTGCTTGTATTAACGCAGTAATAGTGATTACATGTAAATGGCCAAACGATAGTTACAGTACAAAGGCTAATACAAGAGCTAGATGCAATATAAGCTTGTGAGTAAACAAATGCTAACCCTTAAAATGAATTAAATGCTGCTATTTATACTAGATGGAGGTATGTGGGGGGTATGGGGTGCTCTAATATGATTGGTTGCCTCCAATGCCACTTGAGGCCTCCATGATCCAGCATTAACTGCAGTCGGTCACTTGAGCAACTCTCGTTCGGGATTAATCCCAACTAAGCCATCAATAAGGGAATAAACTAATTACCCAAGTGCTAATTATGCCCCATTCAAGATGTGCCGAATGGGGCTTGCCGTTCGGGCCTGATGATTTTCCTTGGACCTTCCCTTGCGTTTGGGCTTTAGGGATATTTTGGGCCGCCGTATCGGGGTCACAAGGAAGTAAAAAAGGTAATCTTTCCACCATTCGTTGTGACCCCGGACGGTGCTCTCTGTCAGTGTTTGCCTGCCCCTGACATGACGGTTTGAAGTTCTTTGGCGGCTGTCGCTTGTATTCTCCATGTAACTGTCATGATTACCTGACGTTTCGCCTCCGTGCGACACGTGTCCCTTAGAGCTTTCTTCGAGAAGTGTCCCTATGAGATTGGTCTACGAATCGGCACTTTTAGGTTATAAGTGTGTCTTTGGGCCCTTGGCCCCGAGTTTCTGATTTTTGCATCTTTGTTCAAGTGCTCTGCCTTCTTCCCAAATCCCTAATTTCCCAGGCTCGCTCAGGTAATCATCCTTTGTTTTCTGCTTTTTCTTCCAGTTCGGCACAAATGTCAATCAGTTCTAGTTCTTCTGACCCCTCAATTATCGAATCGGGTCGGAATTCTGAGATTAACACCAATGTTGGTGATACGGTGGGCACTAGTACTGCCATGGAGAATGTGGCCGAAGATCCCCTTTCCGCTAGCGGTTCTGAGGATGTCGAACCCTGAAGTTCTTCTGATGATGCATCCAGCAGTGATTCCGATGACACCGAGTCTGGCGATGATATGGAGGTGATGAAGCGTGGCCCTCCTGACGATACCCCCATCATCATTTGGACTTGAGGCCCATTCGAAAACGGAGGCAAAGATTGTCTAACAAACTCAGGGCCCAAATCACAACCCTGATTCCCGACCCGGTTGACTTCCGTCTCCATGCCGGTCTACACCTGTTGTGCCGCCGTCGTGGGATGACGGTGGTGCACCTTGACTCAATCAAGGCCGAACTTAGGTTCCCGCTACACCCTTTCTTTGTCACCTTCTTCAACCATTATGGTGTAGTCCCGACCCAAATAATGCCAAATTCTTATCGGGTCATGGTTGGGTTTATTAGCCGTTGCGTGGATGTTGATGTGGTGCCCGACCTGGACGTCTTCCATCACTTCTTCAAGGTTGCTCCCCAACAAACCGACAGATTCCTGGCAGTGAGTGCCCAAACTAGGCGGATCCTCTTCAAGGGGAACCTTACCTCCATCAAAGGGTGGAAAGACCGGTTCTTTTTTGTTTCTGTCCCGGACGGCCTTATCCCACAGAGGTAGAACACGTATCCTCCCAAATCCACTGAGCCCTTCCTTTCTGGGGAGCTAGAAGAGAAGATTATCGCCGTGGAGAGGGCGAGGACGCTGGACATTATGAAGTACTTAACCCTTGCTCGGCTTGTGGAAGCCCGGATAGGTACCGCCTGAATTCCTAGACTTCTTGACCGAAAACCAAGTGCGGTTCGTTTCCCACAGACGGCGCCAATGTTGAGGTTAAGTCCAGAATGACCCGAAGGCCCAACACTAACCTTAGATCTAGGGTTTGATTGCTACAATAATGTGTATAAAAGAAATATAAAAACCGATAGGTTCACGCAAATAGTCTTGCTTGTATTAACGCAATAATAGTGATTATACGGAAATGGCTGAACAGTAGTTACGGTCCAAAGGCTAATACAAGAGCTAGAATGCAATGTAAGCTTGTGAGTAAACAAATGCTAACTCTTACAATGAATTAATTAAATGCTGCTATTTATACTAGATGGAGGTATGTGGGGGCCGGGGGGTATGGGGTGCTCTAATATGATTGGTTGCCTCCCATGCCACTTGAGGCC